CTCAAACCCAGCCCACGCCACCCACAAACCCGCCTCTCCCTCCACACCAACAGGTCCATGCCAGTGCAGAGTCGCTGCGTCTGATCACGTTTGACGCGGACGGCACCCTCTACGCGGACGGCTGCCACATAGAGCAGGACAGCGAGATGATCCGCCTCATGGTGTCACTCATGAGGCTCAACGTGCACGTCGGCATCGTCACCGCCGCGGGGTACCCGGTGCGGGCGGTTGCAGGCGGCGCGGTGGGCTGGTAGCCTCGAGCCGTCCGGCAGCTCGCAGCCGCTCAACAACAGGCACGGTCGCGTATCCTAGCAGCCGCCTTCCTTGCTTGTTTCTTAAGCCACAAGCGCTGTCTCGTCAATGCACAAAACCCTTGCGCTCCAAATGCACACGGCAGGGCGACGCCTCAAAGTTTGAGGGCCGCATCGAGGGCCTGCTCAGCGCCTTCAGGCGGCTGCGGCTGCCGCCTGAGATTGCGGGGCGCTTCCACCTGATGGGGGGCGAGTGCAACTACCTGCTGAGGGTGGACCCCTCCACGTGCAGGCTGGAGTTCGTGCCGGACGAGGTGCGTGCGCATGTCAAGTTTGCGTGTGTGCGTGTGTGTGCGTGTGCAGGTGTGCGTGTGTGTGCGTGTGTGCATGTGCAAGTGTGTGTTTGTATCTGGACAAGTGTGGATTGTTTGGGGGCATTGTGTTGGGATGGTTACGGCGGGGAGGGCGGGTGGCAGGTGGGGCATGTGTGGGATGGCTGTGTGGTGTGTACTTGCTTGTGCGGTGCTGCGTGGACATGTGTGTGTGTGTGTGTGTGTGTGTGCGTACATTCGTGCGCGCGTTCATGCAGTCCGTGGACATGACAGCCATTCGGCGCTCTACACACCTCAAGCAGCTGCTTCACAGCCTCTGACACCGCCCCCTTCCGAAACCCCACCGTGCAGGAGTGGCAGACGGCCGAGATGAGGGCCTGGAGCGAGGAGGACATCCGCGCCACACTGGACGAGGCGCAGGTGCGGGGCGGAGGCGGGTGCACAGCGGGGGTCAGCTGGGCCTGAGACAAGCGGGGGCGAACAACGCCGTTCGCAACACAGGCAGCGTGCGTGTGCCTTTTCCCTGCGCTCCCGCTTTGGAAGCGCCGAGCGGCCTGCTGCGCTCGCCCTCGTGCCTGCGTGTTCCTCAGCCCCCTGGTCGGTGTCCCTGCCCTGCCCTACAACCACGCTCTGTCGGCTACAGACCCTGCTGGTGGAGGGCGCGTCGCGGCTGATGATGCCGGTGCAGGTGATCCGCAAGACGCGGTCTGTGGGGGTGGTGCCGCGGGGCCAGACGATCTACGAGGTGCTGGAGGACTTGGCGG